CATATATTTCTATTTTCATATTATAAATGTTTTTTTTTTACTTGCTGCATACAGACTTTGACATTTTACTTTCCTATTCTAAAAAGAAGTTACTGACAAACTATCTCAAATTATCACTGTCTTCAGTGTTTTTTTTGGAAGATAAAAGAAGTATAGAAAGTAAACATCCACTATCTTTTGCCTCTATTTTTTTTTTATTCAAAACAGCCACTGGGAAATAAATGTATATTGATATTGTACATAGTTTGTGAAGGCCATCATTTAGAAGGATAAATTAGAGGTAAAAAAAAGTTGTACTTTGTATAGAATCAACACAGTGTGAGAATCGTTCTGTACACAGCTATATATGAATGTATGCCTGCATACTGGTACTATTTGCCGTTAATAGAGATGATTTTCTTAACCACCTGGTGCTTTGCATTAACTGGCTGTGAGGCCGACCTGTTAAAAGATCTCAGGCAGTCCCAGCCAGGTCCAGATTCACATGAGCTGACAGATCCACCCCTCCTGTAATCCGTCTTCCCGAACAATTCATTTTCCTCTGCTTTTTCTTTTGACAGAAAGGGACAAAGGCTCCTCAGGCTGCAGGGAAGATTCACACAGATTTTGAGAAGGGATTCATTATGGCGGAGGTAATGAAATTTGACGATTTCAAAGAAGAAGGCTCGGAAACGGCTGCCAAGGTGAGTCCTCGCTGCTTAGTGTTAGAGGACAGCCCCCTCCCCATGGAGAGGCCCAGTCTTCAGACTGGGAAAAAGGCTGTCACCTTTCCTAGTCTAAAATGTTCCCTCTCTCAATCCTCTACATGTGCTGCAACAGAACTGATTTTTCGTAGGCCCCTGACAGAATGGCAGAGCTGGAGCCGATCATTTATGACATTTCAGTTTACATTCTACATCTTTCCAGTGGAAGTGAATGAAACAATACAAGGTTTAACCATATATTAAGACAAATCTATAGACTTGTTCACATTTTTATATATGGGAATTTGATCAGCTTATTGTAAATAACCAGGGCTCACAGTTTGCTTGCCCTATGGGCATTAAGGAAACAAAAACATTTTAATGCAATAAACTGACTCACAGAGACGTCAAGGCCCCAACACCCATACTCCTCATGGAAAAAGCATCGCCAGAATTATGTATGAACTATGTGTATGATACCGGCATAGGATGCGTTATTAGCAGACCTGTCATTTTCAAATTTCAGTAATAAAGATGTAACAGGAATTGTCATTGCTGGTTCCTAGCATGTGGACACCGCATGGTTCAGAAATAAATAGATTACTGCGGATGTGAGTATTAATATCATGGAAAAACAGAGCAATACTTTTAAAATTGTTATTTACGATTAGCAAATTATTGAAAAACATGGGAACCCCCCACCACCCAATTCCCAAGCATCCAGATAATGGATGTCCTGCCATTGTTTCTGATGTCTGGTCCTTATTCTCCACACTTTGTCAGATACACAACCTTAAAGGTAACTGAACACAAAAGTTATATTTTAGTTAATTTTGGAGTCTCTGTGCTAACCCCCCACTGACATCCAACTCTCTTGAGAGATATCTGCCTTCATTCCAGGATCTTTTTCTGCTCATATTGGAGTTGAACTCCAAGGAAAATTCTGGTTGCTCATCCTCCAGTTAAATTCACAATCATATACAAAACATTAAAAGTTTGGGAGTGTGGAATCCCCTTGTGTTTACCACAACAGATATCAAGGCGTTGGTCTCATCGGTGGAGTCCCTAAAAGACATAAGCTCTAAGGTCATTCAATGTTTTAGCAGCTACCAAAAATACCAATCTTATGTGAACTGACACTTTATTCACTTTAAAGTGGAACTATGGGGACATTTTTTTTTAAATTACATATAAAATGCAGTCTGTCACTGGTGTTAACCACTATTTTTTCACCCCCTGTTAATTATTAATAATTTTTTCACTTTCTTTAACAAGGGGACACTGATTTTTGTTCCGTAGTGAGATCACACAGCCGCAATGTTACTCCGTTGACATTGTAGTCTTAGATGGACATGTAATTATCTTTAATGAGGCCCTGTTACCATCTTAAAAACATTGCAGATAAAAGCACACAAAATCAAGTATGTGAAATGCTTACTTCCAGTGTTGTTCCTTTCCATAAATGATTTTGTATTCAATTGCTAGAAAATCTGACTACTCCAAGAGCGTCCATACCCTATCACAGACCTCCCCCTCCTAGCATGTCATAGCCCTCTCCTCTTCTGGGAATGACTAATTCTCTCTGTGCTGGACCTGCACCTCTACCTTTCACCTCACCTTTTTACATAACCTTTTATATCAGTGATGGAGGGAAGGGGAATACTATAGTGTGTCACTTGAGTGACAGGTCAGAGTCTGGTGGGGCTGTTGACATCACATTCAAGATGGTGGCACACAGCATATTAGTCCCAGGACTTTTAGACATCTGCATAAGAGAGCCTTTTTCAGGTAAATAAAATGCCTTAAATGCACATGATTGGGAAGGTTTTGAGTGAAATGAGTGATCTAGTGACACGGTCTCTTTAAGTAAGAGATGAACACATTAAAGCTGAACCCTGGGATAAATAAATCTCACCATTTCTTAATGTCCTTTCCGACAGTAACAAAAAAGGCATTGCCCAGGCATCATGAGAAAGTATCATGGAAGCTCCGTTGTAAGTTCCTTTGCTGTTCAGCGCTACTAGATATAACTGCAATGTCCATCATGCAATGGAAATTAGTTCTTTCAATGGGCAGGTTGGTGGCAGATTAGAAGTGTGCCAGTCATAGCCCTGTGACTGCACACTGCACTGCTTTGGCATGACAGTCAAAATCGGCCGTGTTAGTAAGCGGGACAGACCTGGAGTCTGAGACTTCCTGGCCCTCCAACTACAGCCAGGTAAAGATGAAACTTCAGCGGGGGTGTTACCTTACCAGTTGCCCGGGGATGGAGCAGACACAGCTGCCACCAGTCATTCAGACAGGAAGTAAGGGACACAATGCCGTTATGCAGGATACAAGGAGTGTCTTGACAGTGCCTGCAGTATTATAATCAAGATGAATTATATATTTGCAAAAGGTTTAGAAAAGACCTTACTAAATTTGCATAAAAGTTTCCTGAAAGAAGCCCCCACTATATGTTTGTGTTCCCATCACCACGGCATATCTAAAATAACTTGTTGTAAAATTTTTCCTATCGTTTACATGTTTCTTCGGTGAAGGCCTTTTTGCAGATTCCAGGCTACGCTGAGTAGTTTCAAAGTGAAAGTAGAGGGACCGACTGAGCTTCCTCTCATTAACATACAATGCTTCTAAGTTTTTAACCCTTTGTTGGGACAGACACTGTTCAAATCTAGTTTACAACTGATAATGGAATCTGCCAGCACAGGAAAGACAGATTTGTTAGCGTAAACATAACTTCCCACAACCCCCAACTTAACATTACAAGAGGGGAAGCTAGATCGGAATTTTAGGCAAGTAAAAGGCACTTTAAAAAAAATAAAAATAAATGGAAGCAGCAGTTTTGAAACTTTTTTTTTTTAAGTTAAAATGAGAACAATAACAAATATTAAGTAGATATCTCCGTTTGAATGCAGAAGAGGAAATACACTTTAAGCAGCTACAGCAACAGTTTTTTCTTTTAGAAATGTTTTAACAGTTACAATATAAAGTTTTGCTTGTGTAATATCTCCATTAGATGCTCTGATATATGGTGATATATGGAAACCTATTTAAACCATTGATTGTGTCTCTCCGCATGTTACAACTCTCAACTTTCCAATTGTGTTATTGTGACTCTTTCTACTAACAGAGTCCTGACCATCTTTTGTTTCCTTATGACATCTCACATGGGTTGTAAACAACAGATACCTTTAGATCCTTCAATCAGGTTGTGCCTCATGTACATTTATTAGGCGTAGTGACCAATTGGGGGGCCTTTTATTAGCCATTGTACACAAAGGAGAGGATATAAGCTATTGTTACCAAGCTATGTACTCTTTTTCCCTGGGACACAAAAGCAATAAAACTCAATATGAACGGGCGTAAAGCTAAGAGATGAAATAATACCATACTTGTACTATACATTTTTCTGCAGATATTGTTGGCTTATGAAAGGAAGTAAAAAAATGGCCTGTGAAAAATTAACAGCTCTGCTCGCAGGGTCAGCAGATAATCAAACTCCGGAATACAAGAACTGCTATGCTTATTGCTATTGACAGGTTGCATCATATGTCATTCCTGATTTTTCCCCTTGTACCACTTTAAGCAAAGTGTGCTAATCATTTCACCAGTAATATACCAAACAAGTCTGGAATAATTTGCATTGTAGATGACCTTGAGGGCTGCAGTTGAGCACCACTAGTCTAGATCAGTAACAGACCCTCCAGTATGACCTCCTCCGTACAGTAAAAAATACTCTGCTCCTGAACTTCTGTCTGTCTGATTAAAAATCACTTGGGTTTAGCCAATGAATGCTTAGGAAGGTTTTTCTTCTAAAATGCTAGGTAATTTTAATCAGAAAGGTAGGGAGACCTTCAGAAAGGTAGAAGGACCTACAGGAGAAAAGTATTTTGTACCTTATGTTGAGGGTCATATTGAAGGATCTGCAGTAAGGTTCGGGCTCTTTGGTGGCATAATGCATACCATCCAAATGTCCTTAATATGGGAGGAGAGTGATGTTTGAAAGGCTCCATGAAATGCAGATCCTATTTAAACAGTCTATTTTGACAGCTATTTTAAATTTTGTTCAATGATATTTCCCATTTTCACATGATAGAATGTGTTTGGGGGGGGGGTTGGAGTAGGTTAAGGTGCACACAATAAAAGTGAATTGGCGAAATGTACAGTCCCAGACTGAATAGCAAATCGCATCACTACGGTGACTGCCTAAAACATTCTGTACATTAGTGCCCTGGGTGGGAAAGATCTTAAGATGTTGCAAAATGAGTACAAGGATGTTTTAGGAAGGTAAGTCCTAATAAAGTATTTATTTATTACAGATCTTTATATAGCGCCAACAATTTTACGCAGCGCTTCACATGCACATTCGCATCAGTCCCTGCCCTCAGGGAGATTACAATCCAAGGTCCCCATCTCACATACAGGGCCAATTTAGACAGGAACCAATTAACCTTTCACCATGTCTTTGTAGTGTGGGAGGAAACCGGAGTACCCGGAGGAAACCCACACAAGCGCAGGGAGAACATGCAAACTCCTTTGCACAAAGTGACCTGGCCGGGATTCTGACCCAGAGATTTATGTTTTTTGTTTTTGTTTCTTCCACTTTACAGAATCCTAAATGAAATAATTTGGCTTTGCTGCTCAACACCCCTGTCGTTATACAGGGAAGTCTAGAAAACCTGTTAGGCTAAGTTGGCACAGGAGGTGGCGGAGGAGGGTCAATTCCATCTATAAAAAAAAAAGCACCTTGTATAAACACATCTAAAAGGCTTTTTTGATTACTGTAAAAAAAAAACTAAAAAGCTAACATTGATAATAAATGTGCTTCTCGGGGTTAAGGATAATCCAGGAATAACACAGCTGAAAGAAAAGTAGTCAGAGAGTGCATTTTTCTTGTGTTATGTGATGGTGTACATTATATTATCCGGTGCAGTTTTGGTGCATTATTAAAATGTACCTAGACCCAGACTCTTAAACCAAATATGTTGTTGCCCATGTCC